CATCTAAAGTATTGCGTACACCTGAGGGACGCTTGAGCTGGGGTCAAAGGTCAACACGCTAAAGGAGCATTGACTTACATTAGCGGTTTGTGTTTTTGTTTGTAATAACAAGCAGGGTTTCTTTCAGACATTTTTATTTTTTATCCGGAAAGGGGGTGGGCGCACTTGAAACTTTTGGGAGTGGGGTCGACATTTTGTTAAAGTATATATTTTATTTATTTCGTCAGGGGGGGGGGGAGCGAATGTGCTCGGAAAGGGGGGGGGGGTACTGTCCCTTCTCAATCAGAGTTTCTTCCCCCCCCCCCCCCCCCCCCGAACGAAATGCAATTTATAACGTAAATATATACTTTTAACAGTGTCCGCCCCCCCCCCCCCCCGATAAAAGTCTACCGCCCACCCCCCGAAAATTTCAAGTGCCTCCACCCCATCCCCCCGGAGAAAAAAGTCTGGAAGAAACACTGTTCTCAATCCATCTCGAAGAGATGCCTGAAAGAAACTATAAACACTATTAATAACAGTTAGTTACTCTTTCGATGCTAATAGATAGATGGTTTAAAAAAAAATAGACTTACGTTTTAGGGTAAGGTTACGATTGAGACTGGCTGTTTGTGTTTAAAAATTAACTTGTTAAACAATTATCAATGTAAAAAGCGTGTAATGTCAGAGCCGCACTTATTATTTCGCGAGAGGCGTATGGTTCTGTAGCCGCATGGTTCAATTATCTGGGTTAGGGCATGGTTCTGTAGCCGCAATGTTTGACTCTCTGGGTTAGGGCATGGTTAGGGTTAAAGCAAGGGTAGAAGTGCCTAGTGACGTCCCCCTAGGCTAATTTCGAACAGTTAAAGTTCCCTGTTCTAACCATGGGGGCATGTGAAGTAGAGTTCACCTGTTATGAAGAGATGGTGTGGTCAGCACTATGTCCAGCCGACCTTACATTCCAAAACCTGAGTTAGGTACCCATCAGAGCTGGGTTGACTCACGGGATGTTTTGCTGACTTGAAACCGGATTCGAACTCGCTAGGCCACGCCCCCCCCCCCCCTCGAACAGTTAATCTTGATACATTACAAATTTACAAAGGAAAAATTAACCTCCCGTTTCCAAGCTTTTGTATGGGTCTCAATCAATGTAAAACCTTGTCTGTCCGCTTACCTGTTTTTTTTTAATTGTATAAAAACATTTTGATCTATTTGTAATGTAGAGGATTCTTTCAAACTTTTCATACCAGTGCGCCTCGGAGAAATAAAAAAAGAGCATGAATATACCATTTTCACTTTACTTCATTAAATATTACACTGGTCGTTTAGAGTTTAGACTAATGTCATAGAATTTGTAAACAAAAGGCCAGGGAAGTAGGTGTCGCTCACTTGACCAGTCAGGTGAGCTGGTGGTCACGTGCTGATGTTGTTTACACACGTGACGATTACGTTTTTATAAGCAGATTTGTATAGTCTCTAAGCCGATGAGGAAATTTTAGCGTTTATTCGGTACACGTAGCTATTTTTAGACATGCGAGCTTCAACTAAATAACAAATGTCAAATGCAATACAAATTAGACAAAAAAAATTAACACATTTATTTTCTTTAGCTACGATAGCAAAACGGGATACTCTCGATAGTAAAGCTGATATTCTCGCTAGTAAAAGCGATATTCTCTGCAGTAAAAGCCATACTCTAGATAGTAACAGCGATATTCTCGGTTGAAATCATTTCAATACATATTAGCAATCAACCCGTTTACTATCGTAACTGTTTTTTGGTGCACTGTTTTTTTTTAAATATAAAGTTCTTTTTTATACCATTTTTTTATCCAGCGATGAGACAAATAAGTTTAATTATTCGTGATTAACCTATAGGTAAATTGAAGAGGAAATAAAATATACTAATAAATATGTGAGTGCCCTAAACGATATTTCTAAGAACAACAACTCTGCAAAGTGCCAGCTAGATTTACCACCCTTCGTACTAACAGTAAACGGATTAAGCTAATTAAGGGACTTAAGCCTGGGATAATTGAGCTACAAGCAATGAGGGCTGTGGAATCTGCCATACCGTGTTGTGCCTACCTAGAGATCCACATTCCTCTGGTGGAAGGGTGGGGGGGAGGTGTATGCCCCTGCCATTCCAGGCAATTAAAACATTTCTGGAATGTTAAAACACCCCTCCCCTTCCACCCCTTCCACCGCTTTGCCTCTACCCTCTAGTAAAGCTAATTAATATCTTATGTAAGTAATCAACAATCCACCAGTAAATCATAATAATCCACTCAGGGCTTCTGCATAATTTATTCTCTAGAATTGAAACAGTAATTGCATACATATTAATTTCCAATTTTTTTCACTTGCTTATTTGAGTTCAGGATTCCACTGGTGTTTTAACATAAGAAATGGGGAAATATAAATCTCGGTATACCGTCTTTTAGATAATGAAACCCAATTAAGTGTTGTCTTAAACATTACATGAAAGCTGAAAGCAACTCACACGGTCATGTAAATCCATAACATATTCAGTTCAAGAGTTAGATTTATGCTAGGTTTCTATGTAGACCTAATACTAAATTGGAGTTATGTTTCTATGTAATACTAAATTTGAGATACGTTTCTATGTAATACTAAATTTGAGTTAGGTTTCTATTTAATACTAAATTTGAGTTAGGTTTCTATGTAATACTAAATTTGAGTTAGGTTTATTTATGTTAGGTTTCTATGTAATACTAAATTTAAATTTAGTATTTAGTTGAACTCCAAACATGAGCTTTATAGATATAATCTTTTCAGGCACACGGTTTCCAGAAAATCGTGTTAGACAATCGGTGTTCATAAAATGGTATCCGGTAAACGGTGTTCTGAAAACAGTGTCCGGAAAATGGTGACCGGAAAACGGTGCTCGGAAAACGGTATCCGGAAAACGGTATCCGGCAAACGGGGTTGGAGCAGTTTCTTCACACATCGACACTGCTTTATAGTTCATACAAACGTTTGTGTCCAAACACTCCACACGACATTGTCTACAAATTACTTGTTTCCATGGCAACCAGTACATTGGAAGGCCTGGATCACAGGACAACATAGTGACAGGCAATTTACCCCCCCCCCTCCTCACCCCTAGAAGTCAGGCTTCATTAAGCTCCAAGGCTAATAAACCTGCATTTAGAGCTGTTACTTCTATATTTAGCTCCGAGCTTATCATACCTATCCTTCTACCTGTACTTAGCTCATTCAAGAAGGCACCCAGCTGCGAGATTTGATTTTAATTAAAGATCTGTTATTTTAAAAACCATTTGCAGGTCACGAATTATGCTTCGCGGATATGCTCTGATGCTTCGGTGAAAATAAATTGTCCGCTGAAAATATTAACACCATCAACATTGTCAAAAAAAATACATATTATCTTCGCAATTTTTACAGTATTAAAGTAATTTTGAAATATTCAACTACTATAAGATAGTTTCAAACGAAAAAATGGATTTTTTTTTTTTCATTTAAGAGTTCTGTGTTTCTTCCAGACTTTTTTCTCCGGGGGGGGGGGGGGGGCGGCACTGGAAATTTTCGGGGGGGCGGTAGACTTTCTTCGGGGGGGCGGACACTGTTAAAAGTATATATTTTCTATATAAATTATATAAATTTCATTTCGTTCGGGGGGGGGGCGGTAAAAATTTTTCGGGGGGGGGGGGGGCTTAGCCCCCCCGAAGAGATGCCTGGAAGAAACTCTGCTTATAACACGTAATTTTCCGAGAGACGAAATGACTACGTGTCGGTATTTCGGAGGGCGTGATGTCCAGCACGCGCTGTCTGTTGACGCAAAAAACAACTCGTGATTAAACAAAAACTTTGGAATTTTAAAACGAAGTTTTTTTTTAAATTTATGATTAAAATAATCCAAGTTAATTGTTCATGCCTACGCTGATTTAAAAAAAAACGTTAAGAGGAGTGACGTTTTAACCACTTACATTTTGAATTATCTGCGAAATGAATTGTTTCCTGTTTTAATGTTGATGTTGGGTTGACTTTTGCCAGTAACGGAGATTTGACCTGGTTGACACACGGACCTCCGTAAGGTGCTTAAGGTCCGTGTGGTGCCCCTGTGTCTCCCTAACCCGAACCGTGTCTGACGACAATTTATATAAATCAGGATAATGGTCATATCTCTTTCCGTGAATATTGTAGTCTTCATTTAGAAGATTTAAACCTCTGCACGCCGATATATTTGATTACAGTTGTGTTGGTACGTTTTGTGAATCTATTTTAGCCTCGACAAAATTTAATTTTCCTTGACAAGTTTTGCATTCTTGTTTTGATTTCACTTATAATTATTTTTTTTTTTTTTGGGATAAAATATTTTACTGTTTTTTGGTGTGTTCCAAACTCTGATTTCTGCAAACATTCCGTACTTTCGACTATTAAATATTAAATTAATACATACAAGTGCCTTTAGGGAAAATGTCCTTGGTCAGAGATATAATTGGTCATACGCCAAATATATGACGATTAAAGGATTATCTTAAGCCTAATCTCAAGTGTTTTTTTTTATGTGCCGGCTTTATATGTTTAGAGAGATGGTATAATTAAACTCGTTGGTCTATCATGTACTTTTTCGTTTCTGGTAGCCAACAGTTTGTGGATGTTGTAGATGTAAGTTAGTGTTTGGATGTTGTAGATGTAGGTTAGTGTTTGGATGTTGTGGATGTAAGTTAGTGTTTGGATGTTGTGGATGTGGATAGGTTAGTGTTTGGATGTTGTGGATGAAGTGACGCTATTGTTTGGATGTTGTGGATGTAAGGTAGGTTAGTATTTGGATGTTGTTGATGTAATTTAGTGTTTGGATGTTGTGGGTATAGGTGGGTTAGTGGCTGTGTATTGTGAACATAGGTTAGTATTTGGATATGCATGTAGGTAAGTTAGTATTTGGATTTTTATGTTTTTATATGATCGATCATTCAGGCATCATGGCTATATTTAGATCAGCCTCTCGTTGATTACGGTACGAGCATCAACGTGAGCATATTTCTCTGAGCGTCTGAGTGAAGGTGAGTGTGAGCATATACGTGAGAGCAGGTGCAAGACGGAACAACTGCGGTGAAGTGTCGACATGTCGAGCGTGCATCACAGTGAGTACCTGCCTTCATGCAAGTCAACTGGAATGTTCTTTTTTTTCATTTTACATCCGCATAAACGATTTATGTCTGTTTTATTCCCCTGCCTGCTTAAAATAGATTAAGTGTTTTCTGTCCATGCTCATTCGGTGACTGCCCATATATCGTCAAGGGTAATCACTCTCCTCGCCACCAAGAATTTGTGAAATGTAATTCGCTCCCTTTTCCTTTACAAGATAAAAGGTGTATAGCCGGTATACGGCCGGAGTAAGGGTTGGCGTAACGCTAATAAAACCTATCTTCATTCTCGCGGTTATGTGCCGTGAACTGTTAGTTAGATATTGTGTGCGCCGTAGTGGGTACAGGATAAGAAAACGGCTAGAGGGTGTCGTACTCGCGAACGTTGGGTAGGGGAGAGGGGGGGAGGTGAATGGGGGGGGGGGGGTCGGAAAATATAGTTTTCGATTAGGTTTTACTTTCGTTTGTAAGCTTGCTGCAAATTGTTTAGATGACATTTTGTCTCAGTTGGACGTCGGCAGCAGTAAAGTGTCCTGTGGTTTATGTTTAATTCGGAGACTCTGAGAGCGAACGCGGGTGGAGGGTGGGGGATGAGGGGAGGGGGGGGGGGGGTAAGATGGTCTATGTAAAAAATCATGTAAATATGTTGTATAATGACGGTTTTACCAAGTATTTGTTGATCTTCTTCTTCTTCTTCGTTCTTAATTATTAGTGTTGAAGGGGATCGAGATTTATCTGCCAGTGCGTTTGAACTCGAGACTGTTCTAATGTATCAACCATGAGCTTTTTGCCGACTCCACCTCCAACACAATTAAGCGTTACGTGTCAACTGGTTATGCGCCATTGAGGCCATTGACTCCGATTTCAGCCTGCTTTTCATTTTGGATTTGCTTCCATAGCCTTTGTCCAAGAACAAACTACAAGGCAGCAGTTGTTTAATTTTGGAGTTGTCTCTCCTAGAAGAGTGGCTGTTCCCAGCTAATGAACCTCATCTGCCCGGGGGTTCGAACTCGAGACTTTTCGGTTTAGCAACCATGAGCTTTCCCGACTCGACCACGCCGAACCCTATTTGTTGATCGAACAGTAGTAAATAGGTTTCTTTATTAATTTTTAGGATACAAGTAAACTTGATTTTTTTACTCTCTATCTTTTGCATATATATATATATATATATATATATATATATATATATATATATATATATATATATATATATATATATATATATATATATATATATATATATATATATATATATATATATATATATATATATATATATAATCCAATGACTTAACACATAAAGAACGTAAAAATGCATGCTGTTTAACAATAAATAGCTTAATTAAAAAACATATTCTAGCCATTTATTACTCGTGATTGTTTTTATCAGTGGGTATAGAATGTTTTGTAAAAGTAAATAAATAATTATTCGGTTATCTCCCCTTGTTCCCCCCCCCCCCCCCCCCGATAACATAAAAGCAGAACATATCTAAATTTAGCTTATTAATCATCCGACGTATTTTCGTGTTTATTTTCAGCTTTTGATGGCGTTCGGCGGTACTTGAGTTAGCCAGATACTAGTCGCACCCCAGTGCCAAGTGATCTTATAGCATTGTGTTCATTGGCAGAGCTACGGGGCTAGAAACCAACTTGACTTGTGAATCATAGAAACATCGTTGCCACTCGGTTCAAGTGCTTGGAGTTTTTTTTTTTCCCTCTTCCTCAATGTTTGTAGGAGAAAAAATGTGTGGACTGATGTAGGAATTTTTAAAAACTGTTGCGAAGTGTGAAGTTATATTTCTACAAAGATTGAAATTCAATTTAAAAAAATAATTGTGATTTATTTTTTAAAAGTGTTCAAACTTCCGTTTTTTTTCTTTGTTGAACTGTTGTGAAGAATTTGAATGAAAAAGTGCTTGAATCTACAAAGGGCATACTTCTTTGAATACGTAACTCTACTGTGGTAATAATTGTGTTCCCTTTATTGTGTGGATGGTTTGTTTGACTCGGAGGCTCCATTCGAGGACTTACAGTAGGCCTAGGGGGCAACATGCTCGAGAAGCCACTGACCAATCGCCGACTATGTCTCGGACAAACCAAGGATTCAGTATCGGACCAATCAACGTTCTTCTTACAGTGACGCGCTAAAGACATGGGCTTTGAAGGTAGGTTTGCTTTTATTCTCAAATTATTTCTGGTTTTAATTAGTTAGCTTACATAAAAACATTAATTATGATTTTATTATTATTAGATGTATTTTTTTTTTTAAAATGTCTTGCTTATATGGAGTAGGCCTACACGACATTTTGTATGGCATATATTGTTGAAATATCGGGTTTAGCTATGGTATAGTGTTTACATTTAAAAATTGTAGAACGACTAACTTTATTAACCGATCGCTTGAAGAATCAAAGAGCATTTTGGAATTTCGAGAAAGTAATAAAAAAATAGCTTTTAGCTTTTAAATAATACATTGGTCGTTTAATGTAATGAACCTACGCCACCTACTATTTTAATGACACCAAATATTAGAGTCGATAATTTGCAACTTCTAAGGCTACTAGAGGTTTTGTTTGTAAAGCGTAAGTATACTCTGTTACATTAGAAACACGATTGGGATGTTGTTATGTGTTTAGAAAAATTATTGAAAAATAGCAAAGTGTTGATAAACCAACCATGTGGTGTTTTTTTCCTTGTAAGTTCACGTGTTGAGGGAGGTTTATCTCTTACATACATCTTATTTTATATCTTGACAAATACAACGTGTGTGTGCGTGGGGCGGGGGATGGAGGTGTGTGGGGATAGGGGTGTGTGGTGGTGGGAGTGCGGTGTTGATGCAGCTACGAGGCCTTGTTCAATGCGCTGCCCCCATTGGCCTTAACATTAAGAAAATTCGTCTTATCGTTAATATTATTAATTATATTTGTTTATAGTATAATGTTACACAGTATATTATAGTTAAAACAAATGATGAGTACGGTATTAATTATAAATCGATAAAATAAATAATTAATTAGTACTGTATCCATTACATAGGGCTTACAGTAAAAACAATATTTATTTGTTAGGCGCTGGTATTCAAAGACTTCTTTCTATGTTATTATTACCTAATTATTATTTACAATACTAGGGTGCCACAACACCATAGTAAAGGTCACGAGATTTATCGTAAAAAAAAAACGAAAACATTGCTTTTTGTAGATATGGTAGATCTTCTTCATCTTCGTTCTTAATTTTTAATGATGGAAGGGATCGAGGCTTTTTCGAATTTAGCAACCATGAGCTTTGCCGACACAATTAAGTATATGTGTCATACTGATTGAGGCTTTTCTACAAGGCAGCAGCTGTTTGATTTTGGAGATAACGAGCCTCATCTGCCCGAGGGTTCGAACTCGAGACTTCGGTTAAGCAACAATGAGCTTTTCCGACTCGACCACGCCGACCCCATATGCAATCAAAACTTTTGTTCCATGAACATTTTTAAAATTTCATTTTTTGGTCAAAGTGGTAGTAACTAACAAAAAAAAAAGGAAATCAATAAAAAAACTGTCACTAAAAAAATAAAAGTGTAACTTGGAACAAAAACAATAACAAATGAAGACAAAAAAGAAAACTAAAAGTAGTTTCGTTTAAAAATGTAAAAAAGAAACAACCAAAAACTAAAATCAACAACTGACGGAACAAATCATAGGTGGGGAGCCAAACTTTGACAGTGTCATCAGCGAGTAGCGAGGGAAAAAAACTAAAATCAACAAAACTTTGAACCAAACGGCAGCAAAGATCATCACCTTAGTGCAGACACGATGAACCTTCTGGAATAACGAGGCGTCTGTTGACTGTAACCAACGCCCTCGATTTGCCGCAGACGTAAAACAAACAAATAAACAAAAAAAAAGTTAAACGCCTCAAGATATAGCGCTTTTACAACAAATAAATTACAATTCTAAAAATAGAACGGGAATTTCTGTTTTATACCTCTCCCACTGCGGTGTTATTTACTAGAGTTGCTTATCGGCTGCTTCTCGGCGGGAGTGGGGAGCTTATGCGCTACATGGCCGAAAGATAATTTTTTTATTTCAAATAACGGGCTGTAAATCATACACTTTTTCTCTCCAGAAATTATGGGATAGTTAATTGCTTAGAGCAGTAATATTTACAGGATATTCCTGTATGTCTCTCTTTGTTCTAAATGGGACGGAGTGGTCTAGCGGTAGAGAGCTGGACTGCTAACGCGTAAGTCTCGAGTGCGAAATCCGGGTTCAAGCCAGTAGACCGTCCCTGAGTCCACCCAACTCTGATGGGTACCTAACTCACATTTGGGAAAGTAAAGGCGGCTGGACATAGTGCTGACTACACTATCTGTTCATATGCCGAGGTCACAGAAACAAGTGAACTCTACTTCACTTGCCCTATAGACCGTCAGGTTTGAAAAGGGAACTTTTCTTTCACTCTTTGTTCTCTGTCTCTGTTTACACCTGCGACCTGTCTACTATACATATCTAGGGGAAAAAAACAACTCGTTTGTTACAAAGTGTGGGTAAGATACCGACTCTCAGTGGATACGTCAAACCAACGAGAAGACTTAGATGATAGATTTACGAAAATGAAAATCTGTCACAATATTCCTTGATTGCCTGATCTCTGAATACATCCTCCACGTTATACTAGACATAAGGTTTCAACAGACCCGTGGGGGGGGGATGATCAGTTGTGAAACCAGTGCCATTTTGTCTAAAGGACGCTATGTTGGACTTAATGTTTGGTCCTTCGGTGCTACATTGAAGAACGAAGAAGAAAAAGAATAGACTTTAACTTTAAAGTTGTCGAATGAGAATTTCCCCATTAAAAGGTTCGTGCAAAAAATCCGCGTAGACTATAACGTTGAACAAATTCGCCCCCTAATTCAACTTATTCTTTATGGTTTTCCATTGAGAAGTAATATTATTTAATTAGCTAATTATCGGGCAAATGAGACTACTTCTTCAGCTAAACTAAAGACTGAAGCACCAAATCATCCTGAAGACTAAATAAAACTGAGTCAGCTCTTTGACTTACTAATGAATAAAGTAGAAATTCCGTAATGAGCGAGGCTTGAACCAGAACATTTGTGACGTTATCAAAAGTTTGCTTATTGCTAATTATAAAAGATAATTAATTTATATCGACTAATATTGGAGGAAAGAAACGCCTTAGCTTTGATATTTCGCAAATTTAAGATGAGAGAAAAGAAACATCAAGAGTTAAAGAAAAAACATTTTTTTTTCTTCTCTAAACTCTGACGTCACCTATATATTTTTTGGCGTTACTAGAAATAATTTCGTTTTCCGAAATCGACCAGATAAACGGAATCAATGAAAACTCCAGACACCCGTTCATTAACGGCTGATTGGGGTATCGCCTCACAGCTGCTCAGCACTTCTCCAAAAAGAGGTGCAAGAATTGCAGTGGAATGTTCTGGAAGACACATGTAGCTATGTGGTTGCCTGTCTCACCTCTGCTGAGCTGGGAGGTAGGGGGGGGGGGGGGCTTAGACGGAGACGGGGGGGGGGGGGGGAGACGCGAAATAATTATAAGGATAAAAAACATCCACATTTCACGGAATCGAATCTTTTAATTTAGAAGCTAAGAGCAGCAACGATATATTATCATGAAATAATAATTTTGTTTTCATGCGAGAATGATTTAGCCTTACCATATTTCTTATGCCTGTAACTATAAGGCTACGTATCTCAAATGCATTATCTGTAACATTCCGTTGCTTGTTTTAATTTCTGCACACAGTTTATATATTTTACTGGGGTCTTTGTTAATATGGGTTTTTATTTTGTATTGGGTTCTTACTACAAGGGATCTTTTTATTTGGTTGGGGGGGGGGGGGGGGGGGGCGAAAGCAACACATTATCTTTCCTTTTCCCTGTGGCTTGTGTATTAAAGAATCTTTACATTTCCGTGTGGTCTTGGGTAATTTAGTCATTACATTTTAACACCAAAAAACTCTTGATACACCTACATATTTTATATATATATATATATATATATATATATATATATATATATATATATATATATATATAAACAGCCTGCACATATCTGTTTGCATAGAACGGTTGAATATTGTGTATACATGGTTGTATTAATGAATGACCTGAGTATAGTACACTTAAATAGCGTTGTGTAGGTTAACTGGACTACTTTCGATATTGAAATGGGCACGCTAACACCACAACCCACCGTGTCACCAAAGCTCTACATGTGTTAAAGCTGATGCAAGTTTTTTGTTTCGTGTCTGTTTTCCAAACTTCGATTGCAGGTGTGTTTTCATCATCCGTCTTTCAGTTGCGTAAGTGATCTTCTGGATATTTAGCTTTGTGCGTACTTTTATCTTTTTCAATTTTTTAGTCCAGAGTGCGAGTAAATAAAACATTATTTACCTTTGGCTTTATTTTGGTTTGGGCAATAGGTTTACAACCGGCGGTGTAAAAACACAAATTTTTATGACGGAACGAAAGTTCTAAATTTTGCTGGTGAGTTGAACAACAGCGATAGTAAAAACACACAGAGGCGCGCTTTTGGGAGTTATTTAGTCCAACCCACACAACCACTGGTTGCTGACAGTGGCGGATTAAGTGTGTGTGTGTGTGGGGGGGTGTTGGGGGGGGGGAGGGACTTCCAAATACACCAATCCAGGTTATGTTTATTTTATTTTAGTGTTCAACGTAAACAATCGTTATGCGAAGAGGGAGTGGATTGGTATAAACAATACAGAAAGAAGATTCGCTGATTATACTGCAGATTATGTTGATAGAATATTTATAGGAGATAAAATTGAAGAAAATGATTTTTAAATATTGAATCCGATGTCTCATTTGTATAAAGCCGTTTTGTTTTCGACAATAAACTATTTTATTCGCCTAACCCTAACCCAGGATTCTGCCACGTATTTAGAATTTCTGATCCTATCATGAACTAAACCCCATGCCTTAGATTTTTTCTTAGGTCACAAAGTCTGTCTGTGTGGGTTCGAGGTTATTTCTCGCTACACAATTTTAACCAATTTCTAATGTTTCAAAATAAATGTTTTAAAGTTTTCATTACGACTATTTGATTTAGTATCCAAACCGACATATAAATAAACTGGGCTGTAAAAGTGAAATGGTGAGCGTAA